TCCCATGGACAGTGGAGCCTGGCAGGCTACAGTCCACAGGGTCGCAAAGAGTTGGACACGACTGAGTGACTAACCCACACACCCTTGCCTGTCAGATGAGACCATGAGGGGAAGCAAAACAATAACCCTCACTCAGCAGTGAGTAGACTTGTTCCTCCAGGCAGAGTAATATCAAAGAAAAGTAGCTAAACAAAAGGTTTAAATAAAATCTAGAGTCTCATAATATAATTTGCAAAGTTCCCAGGTTTAAAAAAAATCACTTTTTATATGAAGAATAAAGAAGATCTCAAATTCAGTGCAAAAAGGACAAGAAATACATGTTACACAACAGAGATGTTAGAATTATTTGACAAAGATTTCAAAGCAGCCATTGTAGAAATTCTTCACTGAGCAATTACAAGTGTGTGAAACAAATTTTTTAAAAAGGAAACCTCAGCCAAGAAATAGAAGATACAATGTTATACTGTGTATGCTTCTATTAATTAATATAACATAAATCTTGAAATGATAAATTTATAGAAATGGAGAACCTGGTTGGTCATGGTTGCCAAAGGTTTAGAGAAGAATAGGATCGGAAGAAAGTGGGTGTGGCTATGAAAGGAAAAATGGGTGTGATGGTTGGATGGTATCATTGACTCAATGAGCATGAGTTTGAGTAAACTCTGGGAGTTGGTGATGGACCAGGAGGCCTGGTGTGCTGCAGTCCATGGGGTCGCAAAGAGTTGGACATGACTGAGCAACTGAACTGAACTGAACTGATGAGAGAAAAAGTGGGTATCAAAGGGAACATGAAGAAGTCTTGTGGCAGTGGTAGAAACAGTCAATATTTTGACTGAATCAATGTCAATGACATAGTTGTGATATTTAAAAAACATTAATAGCAGTCATCTGTATAAAATTAGTATCTGATAACTTGTTTTATTCTGCTTAAAAATTATAACCTCAGTTATACTTTTACTTTTGAGAATATATTAGTTAATATTTCTGGGTGATTGTAGCTTGTTAGCTTAGTGTCACATAATCCTGCCAATTAAAAATCCATTTAGTTAAAAGACATCTTTGTGTTTTATGCATCTTTATGGTACAATATAAATTTTATATTACCACTAACTTTGACAAGTTAGAACATATTGGGGTTGAGATACTTAAAAAGGAGTTAAGAATGACTGAGTGTATAATTTTTATGAATATTTCCACTCTTTTCTGAGTTTTCCTTCTGCTTGTAGTAACACCATAGTTTATCCAAACATCTAGTTTATTATTTTTGGGATTGTTTTGGTCTGTCTCTAGTATCTTTGTGAGAAGTCCTGATGAATCTTTCCTTGGAATATATCTCAGTGCGAGGGTGACCATTTGAGAGTTACACTTGAATTAGGCTAACTTGATGGTTATGGAGAGAGAAGAAAGAAGGAATGAGAATTTTGCCATGTAAGGATAAGCTCAGAATTGCTCTGTATTAATTCCATGTTTGCTTATATTTACAGTGGCTTATTAAAGATGAAAGAATGATTTTTCAAGTCTAGCTTAGAATGCTGGCATATAATTCTTCTTGCAATGTGATTTGATATAAAATTAGAGGAAATATTTCTGTCTATTGTATTGCCTAAATAAGATTTATTTAACTTTCCATAGAAAACACATTTTAATAAATTTCCAAGTTCTTTATCACTGCTGAGGTCAAGGAATATCTACCTTGTGGGAGAGAGTTCAACTTTGGCTTGAGGAATTTTTGGTCCCCTAGTAATTGTGAGGGGTCTGAGAAAAATGATTGGGACTCATTTTAGTGGCGATCGGGTTTAAGAGATTATTCTAAGTACAATACTCACAATTTGGGGAATTACCCAAGTATTTTTCTACCCTCTGCTCTTTTTCTTTTTCTTTCTCTTGTTGAGTTTACCTAATCCCATGGGGTTAATCTCTATGGAAACAATTCTCAAACCTTCTCATGTTTTGACCTTTCTTCTTACTTTTAGCCTTTGTTGCTAAAAGTAGGTTGTTACTTTTAAACTTACTAAAGTAAGTTGTTACTTTAGCCTTCAGTCGCTAAGTCATGTTGGACTCTTTACCACCCCTATGGACTGCAGCACACCAGGCTTCCCTGTGCTTAACTATCTCCTGAAGTTTGCTCAAACTCATGTCCATTGAGTCAATGATGCCATCCAACAAAGCACTTTAGCCTTAGTTAAGCATTTGCCCAATTGTACGCTTTTACTTGGATGTCCCCTGGTGGCTCAGCTGGTAAAGAATCTGCCTGCAATGCGGGAGACCTGGGTTCTATCCCTGGGTTGGGAAGATCCCCTGGAGAAGGGAAAGGCTACCCATTCCAGCATTCTGGCCTGGAGAATTGCATGGACATGTTAGTCCATGGGGTCTCAAAGAGTCGGACACTACTGAATGACTTTCACTCACTTGGGTGTCCTGCTAGATGCTCAAGCCCACCATGTTTGAAACTAAATGTATAATTTTTATGGATATTTTCACTCTTTTCTGAGTTTTCTTCTGTTTGTAATAACACCATAGTATATCCAAATACCTAGCCTAGTATCTTTGGGAATTTTTTGTCTATTTCTATTCCTTGGAAGAAAAGTCATGACCAACTTATACAGCATATTAAAAGGCAGAGACATTACTTTGCCAACAAAGGTCCATCTAGTCAAGGCTATGGTTTTTCCAGTAGTCATGTATGGATGTGAGAGTTGGACTATAAAGAAAGCTGAGCGCCGAAGAATTGATGCTTTTGAACTGTGGTAATGGAGAAGACTCTTGAGAGTCTTGGGCTGCAAGGAGATCCAACCAGTCCATTCTAAAGGAAATCAGTCCTGGGTGTTCACTGGAAGGACTGATGTTGAAGCTGAAACTCCAATACATCAGCCACCTGATGCAAAGAGCTGACTCATTTGAAAAGACCCTGATTCTGGGAAAGATTGAAGGCAGGAGGAGAAGGGGACGACAGAAGATGAGATGGTTGCATGGAACCACCGACTTGATGGACACGAGTTTGAGTGGACTCTGAGGGTTGGTGGTGGACAGGGAGGCCTGGCATGCTGCAGTCCATAGGGTCGCAAAGAGTCGCACATGACTGAGTGACTGAACTGACTGATCCCTTTGCGAAAGTCCTGATGAATCTTCCCTCCTCTCTCATTTGTTTGCTTTTTAGAATTTTTCACAGTAGCAGTATTAACTCAGGGCATTTAAAATCACTTACTGACTATTGTAATTGCCTCCCATCGCTGACCTGCATCCAGTCCTTCTTACTCTAGTCTGTCCTCCCAGTGCCCACATTAGTACTCTTCCTGAGTCGGCACTTTGAGTATTTCAAACCTGTGCCAAGAAAGAAATGATTTTGAACGGTTCCTAATGGCCTCCCTAGTGAGCTGACCTTGATCTGGGCATTTGGAAGCATCCTGTACTGATCCAAACTGATCCAAATCTGCCTTCCGGTCTGAGTCTATGCTGCAGACTTCCGAGAAGAGGCACTGGGGCCTCTCTAAGAGCCATGGAAGTCGTCTGTGTGACATTCAGGGAAGACAGAAACTATGTATTTTCTCTGAGTTCAGTAACTTTGATCTATAAGGCTTATAGGTGGCCACTAAGAGTTTACCTGTGACCTTCACATATCTCACTGGTGTTTGTCCAGTCCCACACTCAAGTCCACAAGGAAAAGCACTGATCCTATATAAGCCTTTGTCTGTGGGGCAGTACTTCTTTTTTTTTTTTTGGGGTGGGGGGGCAGTACTTCTGTTGTGATATCCAGTTTTGGTCCTTAGGGAAATGAGGGAAAGGGGGAAAAGTTTGCTCAAACTTTTCATTCATTCATGTTTTATTAAATTCATTCATTTTTTATTAAATGAATGTTTATTTAATACCTACTGTATATGTGTGGTTTTACTCTAAGGTGCTACAAAAAGAGTACTGAATCAAACAGACAAAATCTCTGCCCTCATGGAACTTAGGTTCAAATGCATGTGAATGTATGAATGTATGTGTTTGTGTTGTGAGAAGACACACCAAATAAACAAATAAGTGACTAGTGTTTCTTAAGAGCTGTGGATGCAGGAAAAGTCACTGATTTTCTATTTGAGGATGTGCCCCATTTGGCAACAAACAAAAATGTATGTAAAATGGGTTACTTCCAACACACACTGTTATTCTAGTGAATTCAACTTAAATGCAGTGTGGGCAATTTCTCTTTCTTGCAAATCATATCTCTGGGGAAAACACAATGAAAACCTAAGACTTCTAAGTTTTAATCAGGTCCCCAGGATTTCCCAATTCACAATAACCCCTGGGTCATATTAGCAGGTGGCTCCCTGGGCACCAGCAGATACTATTTCCATCCCCTAGACTGGAGAGGACACTCTGCAGAGACACCATCAGAAACCACGACCTGTAACTCATGGCACCTCAGAGCCTGAGGTACCGAGGTCTGTGCTCTGACTCTCAGTCCAAAACGCACTCAAAACAGAAACAATAGCAAAGAAGAAGACTCTCTGTTCTGGGATGTTCATCTCTAAAATTCATCAGAGCCACTTGCTCTTCCTTGAGAATAAGGAAGCAGAGGTAGCAAGTCCCAACACTGAAGTCTCTGTGCAGAAGGGTGAGTGTTGAATTTTATCTGTCTTGTTACTTGTCTTCCATACCTCATCTGTGGAAGCCTGGAACTCCCTGAAATGACAGGTCTTCTCTCTGCTGAGATGACCACTGATCATTGGGTGGGCCTGGTAACTGTCAGAGCAGAAGCGGAGCAGAGATGCTGCTGTCATGAGTCCTCGGGTTACGGAATTTTATCCCTGTAGAACTTGCCCATTAGTGTTTTTGATACACGTCTTTAAAAGTTTCCTCAGCCTTTATACAGAGGAGGAAACCAAGGCACAGAAGGGTGGGCTGGGTTCCTTCTCGCGTTCTGGGTCTCTCTCATTAGAGTGGGGCTGGGTGGAGAGAGCGGGGCACTCATTTTAACGTCACCCTCTCTCTGTTCTCCAGGTATGTCCTAGGGAAGAATGGCTCCAGAGAATGACTCTTCAGTGACTGAGTTCATCCTGCTGGGTTTAACACAGAAGCCAGAACTCCAGCTGCCTCTCTTTTTCGTTTTCTTAGCAATTTATGTGGTCACTGTGGTGGGGAACGTTGGATTGATTATTCTTATTGCTCTGAACCGTCACCTGCACACTCCCATGTACTACTTTCTCTTCAACCTTTCGTTCACTGATCTCTGCTACTCCTCTGTCATTACCCCTAAAATGCTGATGAGTTTTGTGAGCCAGAACATCATCTCTTATGCAGAGTGCATAACTCAGCTCTGCTTCTTCTCCTTCTTTGTTATTGATGAGTGCTATATTTTGATGTCAATGGCCTATGACCGATACGTGGCCATCTGTAAGCCCCTGCTCTACAAGGTCTCCATGTCCCATCAGGTCTGCCTCATGCTGACGGTGGGTGTATACGCCATGGGGCTTGTGGGTGCCATGGCCAATACTGGGTGCTTGCTGCGACTCTCCTTCTGTGATGGAAACATCATCAATCACTACATGTGTGACATTCCTCCTCTCCTCCAGCTCTCCTGCACAAGCACCTCCATCAATGAGCTGGTGGTTTTCATTGTGGTGGGTGTCAATGTCATAGTGCCCAGTGTCACCATCTCCGTTTCTTACACCTTGATCCTCTCCAACATCCTCCACATCCGTTCTGCAGAGGGCAGGTCCAAAGCCTTCAGTACCTGCACCTCCCACATAATTGTGGTTTCTCTTTTCTTTGGATCAGCAACATTCATGTATCTTAAGCCTTTTCCTGCTGGGTCTCTGGATGAAGATAAAGTGTCCACAGTTTTTTACACCATTGTGGGGCCAATGGTGAATCCTTTCATCTACAGTTTGAGGAACAAAGATGTCCAAGTTGCACTGAGTAAGACTATTAGGAATAGGGCGTTCTGAATAGAAATCATGTTAGCTGTTGATGTCAAATTTTAGTAAGGGCACACAATGTATGATGATATGGAGAAAAGAGAAAGGAATTAAAATAAAAAGCAGGTGATTTAAACAATAAGAGAAGCTAAGTTTTTTATGAAAACCACTTTATAAGAAAAAACAGTATAAAGAAGATGAGAATCAGCCATTCATCCTTTCATAGAAAGTAGGAAAGTATTGGGTTGGCCAATAAGTTCATTTGGAAAATGAACTTTTTGTCCAACCCAACTCTATAATTCATTCTTTCATGCTCAAGCTTATTTTCAGAGATTATAAGGTTTTAAGTAGAAAAAGGTGAATGGTGATGAATCCAGAAACAGTAAGGTTGTGAGATTTTTGACTAAGGTATGTCCAGAACTCCTGTGAAGCTTTGTCATGGACATATGGACTTTGTGGACTTAAGATTCAGTAAGTTACTCATTTATTTAATAAACCTCTATTGAAAGTGCTGGAGGGGATTTTGTCTGGTAGATTCCTTTGTTTCTTAGAAAAGGAGAATAGGAAAATGCTTCTCTCACCATTGTCTCCATCTTCTCAATTTAGTCTTAAGGAAACATGGTAAAGGGAGATTGTCTTTTGATTTCAGTTCCTAAGGACAAAAACACTAAGATAACCATTTAGAGCAGTCAGGAATGAAGAAGGTAATGTTTTGTTTTATGTAAAATATATCTATTTGCATATGGCAATGTGTATTTTTCCATGTTTCTCTCAATTTGTCCCGCCCTCGCCTTCCCCTACTGTGTCAGCAAGTCTCTTCTCTATGTCTGCATCTCTATTGCTGCCCTGAAGAAAGGTTCATCAGTACTATCTTTCTGGATTCCATATGATGTGTTAATGCACAATATTCGTCTTTCTCTTTCTAACTTACTTCACTCTGTATAACAGGCTCTAGGTTCATCCACTTCATTAAGACTGACTCAAATGCATTCTTTTTTTTTTATAGCTGAGTAATATTCTATTGTATATATATGTACCACTATTCTGTATCCATTCATCTGTCGATGGACATTTAGGTTACTTGCATGTCCTAGCTATTGTAAAAAGTGCTGTCACAAACATTGGGGAACATGTGTCTCTTTCAATTAGGTTTTCAAAGGGTATATGCCCAGTATTCATAGTTTTGATACTTATATTTTTACTACAATATTGCCGTATTGTTTTATTACAATGATTCAGGTGTCCTGGGGTAACTGAAGGTCACTGAAGATTTTAAAGAAGGAAGGGAGAGATGTGTGCTTTCAGAACTTATCCTCCAGCTATGTATATGGCCAAATAAGAAGGAGTATGTGAGAAAAGCTAGAATTGTTACTGGAATCATTGCATTTCAGCATATAGTTCAATAAAAACCTCAAAAGTACCTGAGCTTGCGTGGTGGCTGAGGGAAAAGGATGGAAGTCAATGCGGTTGTAGACCCTAACACTGAGCATGTGAGAAACGTGAGAAACACCCGGAAGGCTTTCACCAGAGAACAATGTAACTCACAGAGTTATTTATCCAGGGCCTACTGTGCGAGTGAAAGTCGCTCAGTCGTGTCCCACTCTTTGTGACCCCCATGGACTACACAGTCCATGGAATTCTCCAGGCCAGAATACCGGAGTGGCTATCCATTCCCTTCTCCAGGGGATCTTCCCAACCCAGGGATCGAACCCAGGTCTCCCGCATTGCATGAGGATTCTTCACCTGCTGAGCCACAAGGGAGGTCCCTGCCTTATTCACAGCAGTACAAGAGAAGTAGTAAACAAGACAGAAGAGATGTTTGTCCTCACAGAACTTATAATTTATAGGGAGACACAGGAATTAAAGAGAAAAATGGTGAGTGTTATAATGGAGGACTTACAGAAAATTTGGAGAACATATATGAAGACAGCTGACATTATTTGACTGTATACTACATGCCAGGTACTATTCTAGCCATTTTTTTTGTATTTTTTTTCATTTAATCATCAAGATAACCCAATGAAAGAGATGCTATTATTATCATCAATATTTTAGGAATTATGAACCTGAGGCATGGAGAGTTAATCACTGTGTCCAAGTTAGTAAGCATGGGAATAGGCCTCAAACTCATACCCTCTAACTCTATAGCCCCCACTCTTTTCTACTATGAGAAATAATTGATGACCTCAGTTAATGAAATAATACATTTAAGGACCCAGCTGGAACCTTAGGTAGATATTTCCAGTAGGTGTTTAAAATGTAAAAAATTTAGTAGGGAGAAAGGCATTTAGCATTTTCTTTTTGAGATAATCCATGAGAGACAACAAGTGAAGTGAGTTACTAGAGGCTTTGTAAAATTTCAGGTAAAGATACGAAGAAACCCATAGGTAGACTCTGGAAAATTTCCTCTTAGGGTCTGGGAAGACATAGAGAAAGAACCTGCACAATAGATTTTTCTAAAGTGATGAAGATGATAGGAAGATGGGAGCTTACTTTCGCCTCTGCCCTGGGGGGTGTGCAATCCTTGGAGTGATGTGTAAACTGGATGAAAATATTGAGTCCCTAAGGACCTAGGTAGAGAACATGGTAAATGTAACTCCCTTACTTCTTTTACACATAGAATCTATTCCCCAGGGAGAGACCAAGCAGGCTTCCACCCTGTTTATAACCAAGTGCGCTACATCATTAAACTCACAGTCCATCTTCCGTGTATTATCAAGTGGCAAACCTGATAACAATGCTGTGAAATTTTCCTTGCTGAATGAGAAGACTCAAAATCATAATTAGAAATTAATATTTGTAGTTCAGAAAGATTTCCAGGGCATACCTGAAATTAAGTCTGGGCTGCTCAGACTTTTCATTTTAGAATCAAATGAACCAGAGCCTCAGACCTGACACTGCCTTTCCAGGACAAATGCCTAGGGAGAACTCTAAGTTTTCTGGCCACATAAGGGTGAGTTTCTGAATTCTGTTGATACTAGATCTGCCACTTTCCTGTCTCCTTATCTCCCGACCATTTTGTGCAGTCATGAGATTCAAGTGAAACTCTTAGGAGACTATATTGAAGAGGATCAGAGAGTCTTCAGAGGTTAGGAGACGTGGAAGTGTCTCAGTTAGTAAGTTCCTTTTCTATGGACAGACTCTCACTCTTCTACTTGGGCAATAACTTAACTTCCTCTAGCCTTCGGTCCCTTAGTCTTTGGTTAGAGACAATCTTCATGGTTCCAACTCACACCAGATCTAATCTGCACCAGAAGCCAGCACCATGTAGCTGGGGTCTCTGCCTACAATTTTACTGATGAGGAGAAGTCTTAAGTGAATGAAGAAAAGGTGAAATAAGAGGAGGACTTTCTAACTTGATCCCTCTCTCTTATCCCTTTGTTTTTCCAGCAGGCATGTATCCGTATGGCTGCATTGCCTTCTCTCTGTAGGCTGTCTGTGACACTTTTTGCTTTATTTAGCTTATCAAGACTCTAGAAAGGGAAAGCCCATGGTAAAGGCAGATTCTATGGGCCCAGGTTGGCCTAGTCTCAGACATGCTCAGTATGTACACTCTCTTGTAGGATGAGATATTGTCAGAAGGATTGAGCTGTTCCCCAATGTAAATCTCTCCTGTGCCCACAGATTTTCTTAGGGAGGAATGGCTTCTGGGAATGGGTCTTTCGTGACTGCATTCATCCTGGTGGGGTTAACAGACCAACTGGATCTCCAAGTTCCCTTGTTTTTCCTGTTTCTATTAATGTATATGGTCACTGTGATGGGAAATTTGAGCCTGATAATCCTAATTGGGATAAATTCACATCTACACACCCCCATGTACTTTTTCCTCTTTAACTTGTCCTTCACAGACCTCTGTTATTCTTCAGTACTTACACCCAAAATGCTGATAGATTTCTTATCGAAGGAGAATATTATTTCTTACATGGGGTGCATGACTCAGTTCTACTTCTTCTGTTTTTTTGTCGTTTCTGAATGCTATGTGCTGACATCAATGGCCTATGACCGCTATGTGGCCATCTGTAACCCACTCTTGTATAATGCTGTCATGTCCCCTAAAGTGTGTTCCAGCCTTATGTTTGGTTCATACTTGATGGCATTTTCTGGTGCCATGGCTCACACTGGATGCATGCTGCGACTGACTTTCTGTGATGCAAACACCATCAACCATTATTTCTGTGACATCCACCCTCTGCTTCAGCTCTCCTGCACAAGTACCTACGTCACTGAGCTGGTAGTTTTCATCATGGCGTGCATCAACATCATTGTGCCCAGTCTCACCATCTTTGTCTCTTATGGTCTCATCCTGTCCAGCATCCTCCACATCAAGTCCATGGAGGGCAGGTCCAGAGCCTTCAGCACCTGCAGTTCCCACATCATTGCTGTTTCTCTGTTCTTTGGATCTGGGGCATTTGTGTATCTCAAATCATCTTCTACTGGATCTATGGATAAGGGAAAAATCTCTTCTGTCTTTTATACCAATGTGGTTCCCATGATGAACCCCTTAGTCTACAGTCTGAGGAACAAAGATGTTAAAAATGCTCTGAGAAAAACCCTGAGGAGAAGAAAGTATTGATTAAAATCAGTTTCTATGTCCAGGTCATAGGATGGGAGAGATTTTGTGTGTTTATTTACAATTTTGTAGTAGCAGCCTTCTTACCTTATTTATTTCTCATCATGAAAGTGAAGTCACTCAGTCGTGTCCGACTCCTTGCAACCCTGTGGACTGTAGAGTACCTCCATCCATGGGATTCTCTAGGCAAGAATACTGGGGTGGGTTGCAATTTCCTTCTCCAGGGGATCTTCCCGACCCGGGGATCTAACCCCAGTCTCCCACACTGCAGGCAGACGCTTTAACCTCTGAGCCACCAAGGAAACCCCTAATGATTTCTCATCATAGGGAAGGAAATTTAGTCTTCTCTCAAGTTGTTTCCTGGAGAAGGAAATGGCAACCCAGTGTTCTTGCCTGGAGAATCCCAGGGATGGGGGAGCCTGGTGGGCTGCCATCTATGGGGTTGCACAGAGTCGGACATGACTAACTTAGCAACAGTAGCAGCAAGTTGTTTCCAGTTTCTTAGAGTAGATCATCTTTCTTTTATTCCTACTTTAGCAATATCCTTTCCTTTTCTTCATGCTTCCCATTTAAGGATAACATAAAGAAATAAACTAACCTATTTTTTTTTGCCACCCAGCATGGCTTTTGGGGTCTTAGTTCCCCAACCTGGGATCGAACCTCTGCCCCCTGCAGTGGAAGTGCAGAGTCCTAACCACTGGACCACCAGAGAATTCCCTTCTATTTATTTTTCCTATTGTTATTATTGACTTCTTTTTAACTTGGAAAAAGATGAATGTTTCTGCTAATGATCAATAAAGTAACACTAGTGTGACTTTAAAGTCTTTAAAGTCATTGATTTTGAATACTCAATAAGGTAACACTTTCTTAAATGACACTTATGCCACTGGAAGCATGAAATCAGACAATCTGTCCTACAGTGGTCAGGCATGTGATTTTCCAAATGCCATAGTTTTACCCTTAAGGAGATTCCATAAAGGCTATCAAAGATACTCCACTTTGCAGCTGTAAACACTATTCATTAAGCTACTTTCATGTTTATCTCCAATATTTCATATTTATTTTCTATATTCAAAGTAGCACATCAGATTTTCAATATATATTTATTTCATGAATACAATACTGAATACTGAAACTCAGAGAAGTGTAATGATTTACTTAAAGTCACACAATCTCTTTATGAAAAAATTTGGAATAAACTATTAGCCTTCTGATTTCAAATGTATTACTCTTTCTAGTATACTTTCTGTTTACTTCATTTTATTTGTATTTTAGTAAGCATAAGATAGGGCTTCCCTGGTGGCTGAGACTGTAAAGAATCCACCTGCAATGCAGGATACCTGGGGTCGATCCCTGGGTTGGGAAGGTTCCCTGGAGGAGGGCATGGCTACCCACTCCAGTATTCTTACCTGGAGAATTCCCATCAACAGAGGAGCCTGGTGGGCTACAGTCCATGGGGTCACAAAGAGTCAGATATGACTGACTAAGCCTAGCACAGCAAACATAAGATATGAGAAAACATTTGTTTTGAAAACTGACTTTTTCTGCCAAAAAAAAAATAAAAAATTTTCAGGATCTTATAATTCAGAGAACAGGCATGGGAGTAAAACATTTCCTAGGAATGTGTCATTACTCCATAGTCTAATAAAGAAGGCCTATAAATAAGAGGTACCTCACACAAGGCCAGTAAATAAGAGATCCCTCAGTAGTGAATGGACAATGAGATTTAGAAGTCACACTTCATCCTGAATTTGTTTCCTTATCTGTAGAGTACTTTAATTATCCTCCATATTCCATAAAGCTTTTTTTAAAAAAAAAAGCAAAAGTGTTAATTTTGAATTAAAAAAATTGCAATTTGGGGCAAAAAGATTCTAGTAGCAGCCCGAACAGTGTCCCAGCTCAGGAGTAAAATCAGAGGCTTTTAGAGGAAAAGAAGGAAAGTTGGCACTGCAATGAATTTTAATTTAAGAGTTGGAGACAGAAGCTAGTCTTGGCTAAACAGGATTGAGTACTAGCTATCACTTGTTATTGTTTAGTCGTTAAGTCGCGTCCGACTCTTTTGAGACCCCATGGACTGTAGCCTGCCAGGATCCTCTGTCCGCGGGATTTTCCAGGCAAGAATATTGGAGTGGGCTGCCATTTCCTTCTCCTACATAAAGCTTTTATTAAAACTTATCATACACAATGACCACACATTAATAGTGGCTTGGAGGATGAAGACCAATGGCTATGGCCACATGTGTTGGGAATCAGGTAGAGAGAGGACAGTATCTTAAGGAGATAACATAGTGATTGGTAATCAAAACTCAAGTTAGAAAGAAAGAATAGAAAATAAAATTATGAGAAAAGAAAACTCTTTCTATGATTTTCTTCTCCTTTCTAGAAGGCTCTAGAAATATTATGGAGGTCACAGGATTTCTCTGGATTAACTTTTAGCTTAAGTTATTTGATACTTATAAAATGTTGAACACACATTCCTGTTTGTTGGCTTCCACATGCTATTCTCATGTGGATTTTAAAGTACAAAAGCCTCAAATTTCCGCTGTAAGAACAATGAAAGAAATATTTGGGAAATAAACTAAATTTTGAACAAGATGTCTTTTTCTTTTGAGGCATTAGGAAAAAGAAAACCACACAAACATCTTTACTATGATGTACTGAGACAATTTAAACATGTTCTAAAATAACTGTAGTAACATTTACTACTTTATTGTTTTCCAGTCTCCATCCAATATTTAGATATTTTGAAATTTAGCATGGCTGGATTGTTGGCTTGTGTTTAGCTGTTCAGCATTGCTAAGTTCTTGACTTACAGTTTTACTGACCATTCATATCCCATCCCCTGATCCAATAATAGTATGTTTGATTTTCACTTAACTAGTTCTATGTATATCAAATAATTGATCTTGGCTGGATTTTTTCATTTTGCTTTTCTTTTAGTAACTGTTCTGATAAAATTACTTTCCATATTGAAGGAAAAATATATCTCAATAGGCAAATAGTATCTTGCTCTTTGGGAGCCTTTGTAGACATCAAAGATTGTGTTCAATATGTTATATATTTTACTAGCATTTGAGATGACTCAAAGAGTGGGTTAAAACTGGTGGTTGATCTTTCATTTGATGAGCCTCAAAATACAAATGAAACCTGTTTCAATCTCAGAAAAAAATCTTTAAAATTAGGTTTCAATAATTCAAAAAGACACATGTGCCCGAATGTTTGAACTTCCCAGGTGGCACTAGTGGTAAAGAATCCATCTGTCAATGCAAGAGACGCAAGAGACACTGATTTGATCCCTGGGTTGGGAGATCCTCTGGAGAAGGAAATGGAAGCCCACTCCAGTGTTCTTGCTGGGGAAATCCCATCCCAGAGAAGCCTGGTAGGCTATAATCCATGGGTCTCAGAGTTGGACACGACTGCACATCTAAGCACTTCAATGATCACAGCAACACTATTTACAATAGCCAAGACATGGAAGCAAACTGAATGTTCATTGACAGAAGAATGGATAAAGAAGATGTACATATATACAATGGAATATTACTCCGCCATAAAAAAGAATGAAATTGCGTCATTTGTAGAGATGTGGATGGACCTAGAGTCTGTCATACAGAGTAAAGTAAGTCAGAAAGAGAAAAACAATGATCATATATTAGCACATATATGTGGAATCTAGAAAAATGGTACAGATAAGCCTACTTGCTGGGCAGGACTAGAGATCCAAATGTAGAGTGAACATGTGGACACAGTGGGGGATGGGGAGGGTGGGACGAATTGGGAGAGTAGCATCGGCATATGTACACCATGTACAAAACAGACAGCTAGGGGAAGGCTGCTGTCTAGCACAGGGAGCTCAGCTTGGTGCTCTGTGATGACCAGGAGGAGTGGGGTAGGGGTGGGGTGGGATGGGGTGGGGTGGGAGTGAGGCTCGAGAAGGAGGAGACATATTAATATGTATACATATAGCTGATTCACTTCCTTGTATAGCAGAAACGAACACACTATTGTAGAGTAATTATACTTCCAAAAAATGTCTTATTCCTTCAGATTATTTTGCAAATGATTAATCAGAAAAACAGATATGCCTACAGATTGTAAAAGTTAAGGGTGGCTAAGTTTTAATAGAGGCAATTTAATTTTTTGGTTAGTGCATTTAAGTACTATATAGCTAGGTGGACTTCTTTTAACAGGGAGGGATATGTCTGAGGAAGCACGTCAGTTATTTTATATACATAGCATAGAATTTTGAAATGGGATAAAAGGGGTTATGAGGGAAAGTATGATTCTATTGAAGTTGGTACAGCTGAGAATCAAACAGGTAAGCCATGGGATTCTCCTGTGCCTGTGTACTAGGATGGAGCTGTTTCTAGGTCAGCCCAAAAGCTTTGATATTGTAGGCTTAACAAAAGCGGTCTTCCTAGTTAGGGACCAGAAAGTTCCCTGACGACATCATGAATGTGTT